TTATCCTGAAAATCCAAAGGGGTATATGTTTTATTGTCCTAATCATAGTATGAGAATTCTTGAAAGTGGAAATGTAAGATTCATTGAAAATGGTGAAGTTAGTTGGAGTACAATTCCACAGAAAGTGGAAGTCAAAGAAGTTAGAGTGCAAGTTCCTTTGACTTATGCCTCTAGCAATAAAGTAAGTGTTTCTCTAACTATTGTGTCAAATAACAATGAAGGAGAGCAACAAATTAATGAACCCATAATTTAGAATGAACCTATTATAGAACAACCACAAGAAATAGCATTAAAGAGGCCACAAAAGAGAAAAGAGACCAGCTATTTCGAATGACTATATAGTATATCTACATGAGTTAAAAACTGACTCAAGCATTAATGATAATGATCCAGTTTTGTTTTCACAAGCTGTAAGTTGTGATAATTCTAAAAGGTGGTTAAATACCATGAAAGAAGAATTAAAATTCATGGAACAAAATGATGTTTGGGACCTTGTAGAATTTCCAGAAGGTTGTAAGAAAGTTGGTTGTAAGTGGGTCTTTAAGACTAAACGTGACTCTGATGGCAACCTTGAACGACACAAGGCTAGACTTGTTGCTAAGAATTTTACTCAAAAGGATGGCATTGATTACAAGGATATTTTTTCACCTATCTCACAAAAGGATTCCTTTAGAATTATCATAGCATTAATAGCCCATTATGACTTGGAGCTACATCAAATGGATGTGAAAATCGCCTTTCAAAATGGAAATTTGGAGGAGAATGTTTACATGGACCAACCAATGGGGTTCTCAATTGAAGGAAAAGAACACATGGTGTGCAAATTAAAGAAATCAATATACAGACTTAAGCAAGCTTCTCGCTAATGGTATTTAAAGTTTAATGATACCATTATTTCCTTTGGATTTAAAGAAAACATTGTTGATCGATGCATATATTTGAAGGTTAGTGGGAATAAAGTTATATTTTAATTCTATATGTTAATGTTATCTTGCTTGCAACTAATGATCTTGGTCTTCTTCATGAGACTAAGATGTTTCTCTTTAGTAACTTTGAAATGAAAGATATGGGTGAGACAAGCTATGTGATAGGAATAGAAATATTCTGAGATAGATCACAAGGACTGTTAGGCTTGTCTCAGAAAGCATATATCAATAAAGTACTAGAGAGATTCAGGATGGAAAAGTGCTCAGCATCACCCGTTCCAATTCAGAAAAGAGATAAGTTTAGTCTCATTCAATGTCCTTAAAATGACTTGGAACAAAAACAAATGGAAGCAATTTTGTATGCATCAGTTGTTAGGAGTATCATGTATACTCAAATCTGTACTCGACCAGATATAGGCTTTGTAGCTGGAATGTTAGAAAGATACCAAAGTAATCTGGGAATGGAACATTAGAAAGCTGCAAAGAAAGTTCTGAGATACTTATAGGGAATAAAGTGTCACATGCTTACATATATGAGGTCTAATCACCTTAAGGTGATTGGATATTTAGACTTTGATTTTGCTGGATGTGTAGATTCAAGAAAATCCACTATTGACTATGTATTTCTTTTAGCTAGAGGAGCAATATCATGGAAAAGTGCAAAACAAAAAATTGTTGCTTCATCGACTATGGAAGATAAATTTGTAGCATGTTTTAAGGCTACAATTCAGGCTAATTAGTTGCAGAACTTTATTTCAGGGCTTGGAATTGTCGATAGTATTGCCAAGCCGCTAAAAATGTAATTTGACAATTTTGTAGCAGTATTTTTTTTAAGAACGACAAGTACTCTAAGGGTGCTAAGCATATGAAATTAAAGTACTTTTCCGTGAAGAAAAAAGTTCAGAAACAAAGAGTGTCAATAGAACATATTAGCACAAACCTTATGATAGTTGACCTTTAGCAAAGGGATTACCACCCAAAATATTTGTTGAGCATGTTAAAAATATGGGCATTATTGTTACTAATGATTGTTGAGTATTATGTTTATTTTATATTAAGTGATTGACATTTTGAGCTCATTAATGATATGTTTCTGAGTACCTGTTCTCTATGGTTTTATGCACATTTGTGTTAGAATAATGTAAATAGGTGTTATCTTGAATAAATATATTATGTTAGACCAATTATTATGTGCTCCTTATTAATGATCATATTAAGAAGAAGACTTGTTTGTAGTACATGGAAGGGATTATGTCGATTAAACTAATATACAACCGTCATGACTCAAATTAGTTCATATTTTTAATTATAAAATTATGATGAACCTAATGTATAAAATGATTTAGTCATTTTAATACGCATTATGTTAATTTTATTTATTTATTTATTTGTTCATTATGAGAAATGTCACATGAGTCAAGTGGGAGAATGTAAAACAATTATGTCTCATGTGAGAAACATGTGATGTATAAAAGGACTAATAAATAAATAATTAAATAATTAGGGACTAAAATATTATCTCAAACCCTAACTATCATGGAAGATAGAGAGAGTAGAAAAAAAAAGTTAAAGGGAGTGAAATCTTAATTCTCTTATCAAGAAAATCAAAATACTCTAAAGATCAAAAGAGATTTCTATTATGCAGAAAATTACATATTATTTTTTATTATTGTGTGAGTATAAAAAATTTCAAAGATCTTTTTAATTCTCTATAATTAATGTATTAAAAAATCATAAAACTTACAAGCATTATATACTTTCTAATAGGTCAAGTTAAGCAAAAGAATATTAACCTCTTATTCTTCTTGGAGCAGCAGGCACTGTAGTAGCATGAATCATTTTCGTCTTCTTGCAAAAGTGTAGGTACATTTCATTTTTTACTCATTTTCCTTCTTTTTATTTACTTTCTTTTATTTTTCTTTCATAAAGAAAGCATCAGAAAATTCTAGAGTTCAAACCCATAAGTAAAAGAATAGTATCTTTTCTTCTTAGAGCAACCGTGGTGTAGGTAAATTTCATTTTTTACTCATTTTCTCTTCTCTCTTTTCGTTTACTTTCTTTTATATTTCTTTCATAAATCAAATAAAATATTAGAAACTTTCCAATAGGTCAAACTTCGTTAGCAAAAGAATACTTAATTTCTTCTATTCTAATTATTAGTTATCCGGTGTCCTATCATTAGTCTTCTTTCATAATTGGAGCTATGGTTGAGCCAATAGAAAAATGAAAGTAAGCATGACTCTTTTCAACTAACACATGAAAACAAATTGATAGATTTTATAATGTAATTGAGTTTAAAAACCGGTTATAACAAATTTGAAACCAAACTGGCTATAAGTACCAATTTAATAAATTTGTACGTATAGAGGCTAAATTGAGAATTTGTGGTTTAAAATACATATTTAACTTATTTATTATTTATAATTTTACATGTAATTTAAAAGGAAAAAAATAATATTGGATTAAATAGGTTCCGATACCTTTTCAACCTAATTTTTACTATTCTAACATGATGTAATTCACCCAATATTTTTGTAAGTCTAAAACTAAAGAGTCCAACTTGGTTGGGCCTAACAAGCTAATGGGCCAACTCATTCAAATGAGTCAATGTTGACAGTTATATTAATTAATGATTATTATAAATTTGAACATATTTTTCAAATTTAATAACATGAATGAAAAAATGTCAATGTATGAAGGATGATGTATGTAGGTATCCTTGAATATTTGTGGATATTTATATGGATATGGAACGAGTATAGACCAAAATTTTTATCTAATGGGATTGGGATGGATACAAATATCATTGTTGGTGAAAATACTACATTGAACTCAGTTGTTATTTTTTAATTGTTTTAATTTGTCACTTTTAGATATATGATTAGTGACTTGGAGAACTAAAATAAAATCTTTCAAAATTACAAGAACTAAAAATAACAATTTTAAATTTAAGGAACCAAAATAAACTTATCTTAAACTTGAAGGATTAAAAACATATTTAAAATTCTCATAATATATATGTAATTTATTTTTATTATATATTTTTATTTTGTATAATATAATACAATATATGACATAATGTATAAGGGTAATAAAGAGAAGAGTTTATATTATTTTACTGTATCCTAACCCGATAAAAAATAAGCTAGGCCAATAGAGTACCATATCTTGTTGATACAACAAATAACAACGGATTATAATAAGATAAGATAATTATCTTATCCTATTATATCCTAACAACTAAATGGGTCTTATATTCATTTACTTATTTTAGTTAAATTAAGATTAAAAAAAGTGCATATTTTGACCATTTTCTCAATTTAGTCAAATCAAGTTATCTATAGTTTAAATATTAACTTTAGGAATAAAACAATCATGTGGGAGAGAATTCTTCTCTTGTGTGTGCTGATACATAAATTAGTCACTGCTTTTAACATAAATACTTTGTACTAATATTCTTGTTTAAAAAATAGATATAATATATAAAGAGTCTTATATAAATTTTGTTGTCATAACTATAAATTTTTTATAGAAAGAAAAAAATATTTATTTTTTATCATTTTCAATTCAGATATTTTGATGATGCAATCTAAAATTCAATTCAGTTAACGCAACCTGGCTTGGATTATTTTAATTATTTAATTAAATTTTATCAATATTTTAAAAATAAAAGAATAAATAATTAAATAAATATAATATGAAATACTATTTTTAAAATTTGATTTGATTTTTAATAATATTTTTAAAATTATTCGATTATTAAAAAAAACCGATGATTCAAATCCACACATTATGTAAATATTTTTTTTACACCCACGTATGTAAAAATTAGTCATGGACAAATGGTTAAAAAAAACAAGTTTAATATTTAGATTGAATTAATTTAAAATTTTGGCAAGCCAACTTCACTCAACTCAATTAAATTTAATCGATTCAAAATTTATTCTACTATATCCAACCGATCCATGACGAATCGACGATCCTACTGAAAGCCATGTCTTCTACAGTAATGCTCAATTATTTTAGTTTGTTTAGTTTTCTATTTATATAGACTGCTTTTCTTGTTCATAGAAAAATGGTGTTACTCCAAATTTTATGGTTTGAAAAGGAAACATGCCTTAAAATTGTTCCAAAAATTTGAAGCACGAGAATGCATTCATAGAATAGAAAGGGTGGGATTTTAGTACCTAATAATGAGAAATAGGAAAGAAACGGAAGTGCAACAAAAAAACATTTATGATTTTAAAGTTTGTGCACCGAGTAACGTTGACACTTTTTAAGAAGAATTGAGACAATGATGACTGATTAGAGAACAAAAACTTAACGTTGACACTTCCCTTTTCCCTAAGTTGTTTATTTTTCCACCGATTTTCTCTACCTTTTCTGCCGTTGCAAGAATCATCCAACCTCCCTGCAAAATCTTCTCACGCAATTTTGTGAGCAAGGTTGAGGTTGTGCTTCCCCATGGTGTTGTTCTTGTGATGGGGTTGGCAAATTGGTGTGTTTAAGGGTGATTCTGGGATCTGGCAGACGCAGAAACGTGTGGATCTCTGCAATTCCTGTAGTTTTTTTCATCTGGGTATAGTTGTTTTGTTATGGGTTGGAGATACAAGGCAGGGTTGTTCCTCATAGCTACTGTGGTTATCATATGGGTCACGTCAGCTGAAGTCACCCAGGTAAAGTTTTGCTTCCAAAAGTTGCACTTTTTCAAGTTTCTTCAGCCTTGATAAATGATTGGATTTTGTTGAGTCTGGGGTGAATGTCTCTTTGGTAAATGTACATGTGTGTATGTTAGGTTTTTTTTGTTGTTTTGTGGATATCTGTTAAGGGTTGGAGATTCAATTAAATGGTTGTGGCGTTTTTTGTCTTGGCATGTAGGACCTTCTGTTGATCATACAAAAATCAATTAGGATGATATTACATCAATTAGGAACCTAAGATGATTTTTTTTTTTTGGCTTAATGTGCTTTATTTTGAAGCTTCCTAAATCCTAAGGATCAACCTACGTATTGATACACTACTTGAAATTGAAACTTCACATGTCAATCATACAAACCTCTAGGTGAGATTGGAAGTTCCCTTGGCTAGAATTTGTTCCCTTTGGCCAGTTATATTTTGTGATTTTGGGTTTTGCATATGTTGTTCATCAGAGGATATTATGCTTGACGATTTTGTGTTTTTGAGTAGTTGTCTTCACATCAGTTTTATAAAATTTTTATATCTGAATCCTTATTTACACAAGGTAAAAAATTTGAAATTATTCTCACCGGGTATCTTTTTATTGGAGACCACAAACATGCAGTGTACCACCATCCAAGCTTTATATATATGAATGCTTCTCTGAATTAAAATTTTTCTTACAGGATATTTTTATAGATTACAAGCAGCCATTTGCAGTGACATATCTCGGAGCTTCTCTTATGGTAGTTTACCTCCCAGTAGCATTCATCAAGGACTTGTTGTGCAAATTAATTAAACACCACTCTTCTAAAAAAAATGCAAAAGTTGGGGTTGAGTTTTCTATCATGAGTTCTTCTCCTCTCAAGGGCAATGGAGTGCAGAAACACAATGAAGTAGAACTGGGGAGCGTGACTCGTAAAGATAGTGATCCAAACCTTTCAACACATGAAGAAGTAAAGCCATTGGTGGCTAAATATAATGATACTAATTTGATAAAGGCAGAGAAACAACTTACTACAAGGGAAATTGCTACTTATGGATTTTACATTGCACCTATTTGGTTTTTAACAGAGGTAAGTAACTTGAGATTGATATCTTGATTTTGCAGCAAGGCATGCTTTCGACTGAATTATGTTATTATATCTTTTAACTGGTCCATGATCCTGTTTGCATAGCTAGAACCCTGGTCAGGAAGCACTTGCCATGGCTCACCCTTTAACTGTGTTTTTAACCAAAACGAGAAAAAAGTTATCTCTGCTTTGTTTTACAAGGCATCTGATTTCTGATGTTCTGCACATATATCTATCGACTAAATTATTACTTTAATATTCCTATAAAGCAACAATACCTATCAAAATTTTGTAATTCCAGCATTTCATTAACTATACATTAAAAGGAAGCTTTTAACTGACAGAATGTGAAACTATATCAAGGTCATATTAGTTAACTTTACATGTCTCCTACCACATTACTGTTATGGTAATTGATTTCATACATATTTGTTATTAACTGTTAGAGGAGTGCTACTGCTAGCAACAAACTTTTTGTAACACACTCTTTACTATTAGTTAATTTTTATTGAACACTACAAAATCATGAATGGGGCTCATTATATACGGAATGAAACCCTCGAAAATTTGTGATTGTCAATAAATTTCAACTAATAGTTTGTTTAAAAAAAGTGTGTTGTTGGCATTTTTGTAACTGTTATGAGCAATAATTTTTCTTCAGATTGTTAAACATGTCTTGCAGTTGCATTTTATAAATGGGTATTCTGACTTATATTGCATAACACACAGGCAGAGGCACAACAGGAACTCCTGCATCCTCTTTGAACTACTTATTCATTATAGCTGGGGTTATGTTGTATAAAAGCTATTCAACAACTTATATTTATGGACCAATATACATGAACACATAACACCTGCACACTTTGGAAAAGTCTAGCATGTCTGACCCCTGCATTTGATATTGATGACTTCTAGTTACTGTGAAGTAATTACATTCCATTTCCGTCTGGAGTGGTTAGGTCACTGGATAGATAAATTTGTTATCACATAAAGTTGACATGGCTCTGTTTGTAAATAGTGTATGCATAGTTTTGATGTTTATTCTGTTGTATAATAGTGTTATTTTATTAACTTTTTTTCTGTTGCATTCAGTATCTATCAAATGCTGCCCTTGCACGAACAAGTGTTGCAAGTACAACAGTATTGTCATCCACCTCAGGACTCTTCACTCTCTTCATTGGCGTGTTTATGGGCCAAGACACTTTAAATGTCGCAAAAGTAGTTGCTGTTTTGGTCAGCATGGCCGGGGTTTTGATGACAACTCTGGGGAAAACGTGGGCTGCAGATGACAAGCTATCAAATGCTTCGTAAGCCTTCACCATCACTTCTCAAAAATCACCTTCATTATGCATTTTTCCCCCCTTTTAACTGATACCAAAATTAATGCATGAGGTAGTAGGAGATAGTCCTATACTATCTAAAGCTGGAACAAACTGGCAGTTCCGCAATCCAAATTGCTTATGTTTGCATTTAGCTACAAAATGGAAACCTAAATATCGTTGAATAGCGTCTTATTTATTCAGTTACCAATTGCATAAAATTGCTGCCTAAATGTTGACTTTGGTTACCTTTTCTAGAGATATATTGGTATCATCACTGATGGCAGTTCATATTTTGAAAAATAAAATTTTATGGAAATAAATGTTGAATATTGATTAAGACGGGAGAACCTCCCCGATAAATTGGTGTTCCATGTCTCCTACCTAGATAATATAGCACTTCACAGTTCACACTTTTTGTTTTACCATCAATAAGAATTATATCTTACACATCAATAATTCCTTGTCATCTAGTTATGATATACATTACAGTTTTCTTACATAGCCTAAGAATTTTTTTTGCTAGTCTAGACCATGATGTAGATGTACTCATGTTTGGATGTCAGAATCATCAAAGCATTCTTGTGTCACACTCAGGGATTTGCTAAACTAAGCTCTAATACCAATTTGATGCATAGAAAAAAAAAAGTAGGAAATAAAGAAGTACTGTTGTTTTTCGGGTAGAAGCATTTCAATTTTCAAATCTGAAAATTTCCTGTGCTGGCTGAATACAAAATCTTAAGGGCTATTTATGCTATGTTAATTATATATTGCTAACTGCTAAGCTTATTATAAATAAAAGTATAAAACATAGTATATCAGCTACATAATGAACCAAACAGCCCTTTACCCTCAAGGAGTCAAATTGTTGTCTTTCATTTATTATCAGCTACTTGCTTCTTTGTAATAGTATTTTTTGGGCGATGACAGTTGATATTTGTGTTCAGCAATGGTCAGCGCTCTTTTGTTGGAGATCTTTTTGGCCTTCTCTCGGCCATGTCATATGGTCTATTTACAGGTTAGGCAACGTATTGGCTTTTTGTTTGTTTTATATAATTTTTTGTATTTGTCAGATAATTTAGAAGAATAATGACAGCTTCTTTAACTTCAATGCCGCACAGTGCTTCTTAAAAAATTTTCTGGTGAAGAAGGAGAACGGGTTGATGTGCAAAAGCTGTTTGGATATATTGGATTGTTTACACTTTTAGCACTATGGTGGCTTAGTAAGTTTTTATCTTGAAATGAATCTATAGACTAGTTACTTATAAGCGACGAGCACTCCCTTTTGTTTACTCATATAACTTGGTTCTCGTGTCCTAAACTGATTGCTACTTCTCTATATTTTTCTCAGTCTGGCCATTGTCAGCCTTAGGAATTGAACCCAAGTTTACGATTCCCCATTCGGTTAGATTGGACGAAGTGGTTCTTGCCAATGGATTTGTTGGAAGTGTTCTCTCAGACTACTTCTGGTACATAAAATAAGAACCCATTTGGATAAATTTCTCTAAAAGCACATTTAGAAGGAAAAAATAGGAAGGAAGAATTAAATGTTTCTCTATAAGCTAAAATTAGTTTGTGTATAAACTAATTTGTAGAAGTTTTTTCACATATTTTCTCCGAAAAATTACAAATTAGCTTATGTACATGTTAGTTTTAGCTTATGGAGAAATTTATTTAATTTTTTCTTCGTATTTTTTCCACCGAGATGTGCTTCAAGAGAAATTTATCAAAAACAAACCCTGCATTTGAGTAATTTACATTATTACATCTATATTCTGTACAGAGTTATCCAAACTCTTACATCATAGTTTATTTTATCTACCCAGGGCACTCTGTGTTGTATGGACAACTCCCCTTGTGGCCACTTTGGGCATGTCACTCACCATTCCTCTTGCTATGTTGGCTGACATGTTGATCCATGGCCGGCATTATTCAGCATTGTACATTCTTGGCTCACTTCAGGTATTTTTATGGCTAAAGATATCTGTAATCACTAAGAGGGTCTTTTTATTTTTCCTCAACAAAAAAATAGAAGTAAAATATGAAAAAGATCATAGTCATTTCTTGGTGTCATGCTGTCGGTTCCACTGCCATTCCGATCATTTATATTTGTATTTGTGCAAGTTTGTGTATGCATGTTTCTGTTCATTAATATCAGATAATATAGTCAATTATGATTCTGTTAGTGAGCTATTTTAGTTTGGTAGTTCCATAACATATCGGTTAGGAAGTAAGGTGTTGTAGGTTCCACATGACGTGTTATCATGTGTTGTTCCAAGTTGTGTTTGAGTTGCACTGCATTCATGAGATGTATGATTCAGCTTTTTGTTTTACCATCAATACGAATTATCTCTTCCACGTCAATAATTCCTTGTCATCTAGTTATGATTTAGATGACAGTTCTCTTACATAGCCTAAGAAATATTTTTAGTAGACTAGACCATGATGTAGATGTACTGCTGGCTATAACTCATGTTTGGATTTCACAATCATCAAAGTATTCCAATATTTTTGTTCACTTATTAACGGATTTGTTTTGGAATTGAGCTGCAGGTATTTGCAGGCTTTGTGATAGCTAATATTTCAGAGTGTTTGACCATGAGGCTGGGATTATAGCACATTCTTTCCTATACTGATTCTTGCTTAGGTTGTTTATCTTTTTGAGTCAACATGTTGGAAAAACCAATGTCGCTTCCCATGTTGTATTGTTCTGTGTATATGGTTTTAGAGCGAGGCCTTTGTTGTAAAATTGAAAGTGTCCAAGATGAGCTTTGTAAAGAAGCATTTTACATAGGTAAATGCCTTCTTGAAGAAAATTAGGATTTCATTAAAACATGAAAGCAAGAAATACCCAGTTAAAACAATGATAAGTACTTATATAAACAATTTAATCTCGTTAATTTCTTTGAAATAATTTATATACAAGCGCTCACATGAAAAATACGTTTTTGATAAATACTTTATAAAGTTGTTAATTCAAATTGATCTTAATTTAAGTTTATCTAATACGGTCTCAAGTTGTTTATCTATCATTTTTTAATATTAGAAAGTGTTTCAAATTTGAGACGAAAATTCTCTTACTTTTCCTACAACAACTCCTTTCTTAATCTAACTTGACATATGCTAGAATGTTTATTATCACTATATTACAAAAGAAATCTAATAATAGCCACACGTTAAGGGATCATATGACATGTGTAGTGTTGAAATATTGTTAGGAAAAAAATAATCTAAATAAAATATATATAAATGCCATACTCTTTATACTCCAGGATACGTAAGAACATCCAAAGTGATTATATCCTAAAGATGTATCTTATATTATTTTACTGAGTCTCACATGGATGCGTTCACATTATATTTTAGTGACTCGTAAGTAATCTATTATACTTGTATTCTAATGGTAAAATTATATTTAACTAATAAGTAATCTACTATACCTTTATTCTAATGGTAAAATTTTAAGTAACTCATAAAATAATCACATTTTTATATATTTTTATTTGTACATAATTTTTATGAAACTAGAATATTAACTCAATAATTTTAATTATATTGTATAATTTTTTTTATATAATAAAGACAATTGAATATTTTGCACGAAAACATTTTTAGGAATTTTGTTATTTTTTTTAAATTTATTTGTCATATTTATTTATGAATTAAATTTTAATTTTTAATTTATGTTACTAATATAATTAAAATAATCTTGTATCACAATGTAAATTATTTATCTAAAATATAATATATAATATCAATTTTTAAAAATATCCATGTATATAAATTATAAATATAATTTCTATGTTCAATATATTATTTATTTGTATATATAATTTATTATAAATTTGTATTATATATAAATATTTAACTTGTGAAATACACAAGTTAAAATACTAGTTAAATAATAAAAATATTGTAATATTTTAATTAACTTTTATCATAATTAGTTAAAATTAATAGCAAATTAATAAAATTATATAATTACAAATAATGAGAAATGTATAATATTATATTAAATAAATAATAAATACACAGCAATGTAAAATATATAACATACATAAAAATAGATTTTCTTTACTTTGATGTCCAAATCATATAGTAAAAAGCAAGTTTGAAACATTATTTTGTTTTAAACTAACGTATTTTATATAAGAATCGAAAATACGGTGTTTAGAATTAAACAACCGAACATGTCATGTAGATACTCATAACATATCAAAGAATGTATTTAACATTTGGGTACCATCTCAAATGTCATTTTTCCAAGTTCCTTAGAATATTCTCGACAGTTGTATCTTAAGAGTATTTTACACTGTTGTGAAAAAAAAAAAAAAAAGGAGTATCTTACACTAAGCAATTGATTTTATTTATTTTTTTTCCATTGCAGGATTCTTCTACTGAATAAGGTTTCGCATCCACCAAAACTCCATTGCAGACTCTGAATAAAAATCAGAATTTTAAGAAACAGTCCACGACTGTGATATTTGGATTCACCACAACTGCATCACAACCCCAATAACAGTCACATTTGTCTATAGTTATATTAGAAAAATATAAATGATTCCTAATCATTTTAAATCATGGGAGAACAGAGATTAGGCTTTTGTTATGAAAATTCTTCAATCACTAGTCAGATTAGGTAGAAGGTTTCATCCAACTAACCTCATTAGAAACAATTGGTTTAAGGTCTCATCTCCAAAGCTGTTCCGAAATAATAAAAATATTTCAAAAATTACATTGAAATTTTAAAAAAAAATTAGGGGATGTAATATAACGATCAATGATAAACAAGCATCAAATTGATTGCCCAACAAAAATGTGAAAAGCATATACCTGAATTTGGTAGAGCAATGTAGATGGTATGGAATAATTGTCACATTAAATGTTCTGGTTTCTTTTACCAGGATTTAGATTCTGCTCATGCCACTCCCACATGGAGCTAACAAATGGGACAATGAATAAGTTTTCTGTGTGGTTGAAATGCATGTCTAGAAATAAAAAATGTTAGTAAAAGAATATGCAGTAGAACAACTAGCCTATGAAAATGTGGAGGCAAGGCAAACATGAATGTCTGGCAAATCAAATTCAAATTATGAAATTGAGAAAATAGAGTCAAACCTTTTAACGATATGACTGAGTAACCTGTTACTTTCAATAAATGGAAGATTTAGCTTTCCACTCAATAGAGGATGCCCAAGTATAACTCTTTTAATAAAAGCCATCAGCTTCATCCTTATAGAATTTACATCTGTATATGATGGTATAATTTGCCTGTTTTTAAGACCAAAAAATTAAATAAAGAAAAAAATTAAGCACATCAAACGTCCATATCTAATTGAATAAACCCTTACAATTGAAATTAATATACCTTATATCATCAACCATCAGAAGGTAACTAAGGTCTTTCATCAACTTTTCATTTCCTTGTATGTAGACTTTAATCTCCTTTATGAGGATATCCATGGCCTTGTCACGTTCGTTACTAAATGAAAAAAGAATGAAGTTTTGGATAAGATTACATACCAACACGAGAATAATCAAGTTCTTGAACAAACAAAAACACCCTTAAATATATAAAGACAATAACAGTTTCAAGAATACACACACCCACATGAAATAACCTAGTTCTTGAACAGACAAGAACACGTACCCTTATAAATATATATATATATATATAAAAGCAGTTTTTTTTATTTTTTATTTTTATATATATATATTTTTTTTTATAAGCAAAGGCTTTACGCAAAAGACAAAGTGCTACATTACTCTAATCCATATACAGAATTCCACAAATTTAACATAAAATGTAAGCTATCAGAACACCAATCTGAAAAACAGCACTGGACATTGTTTTTCTTGGTCTTGAACTGAGAATAATTAACGTAGTTCTTGAGAAAACAAGAAGACCCTTTTACTTATATGAGACTAAAAAAGCTTACTTGTCCAATGCTTCCAAGTATTTCTGCTTCTTCATTTCAAATAATATTTCCTTGACCAACGCGAACCCTGAAAGGTAGTTCTCAGCCTCATCCCACTTGCCCTCAAGCACCATCTTCTCAAAATGGTTTAAGGAAAAGTATAACCCAGTTTCACGCCCAAGACTGTTAAAGAAATATATATTAAGGGAAACCAAAATGGCAAATTAGAATAAGAAGATAACCTTAAAAAGCATGCAAGAAGCCTTAAGTTTGCGTTGTGGAAAGAGAGAGAGACACATACGTGTATGCTGATTCTTCGAAACCATGCTCATTCAAGTACTGTAAGACCAAGTAGTGAATTTCTCTGTGGAGGTTCGGAGAAGACATGTCTAAGTCTGTTTTCCAATCTGGCCGGAGAACGCTCAATCTGACTCACTAATTCACTGATCAATGTCAAAGTGTGTTTCACATAATAAGGTGTAAGAACATATTTTTTTGTTTAATATCATTAATACTAATTTATAATTGAGTAATGCAGTGTCTTCCTACAATTTTTTTTCTTTCTATATCTTCGTGTGGTAAAAATAATAGAAAATCTGTATCTTCGTAATATATTTTATATTAAATAAAATTCAAATATATTTAATTAATGTCTTAACATCATAAAATAAATGTAATACTTGTCTTAAAACGAAAAAAAGAGATTTAAAAAAAACAAATAAGAGAATTTTTGTAGAAATACTTTTAAAAAAGTTATAACAAGATTCATGATCAGCCTTTATATATATTAAATACGAAGGTTATTTTTGCGAGAACGTTTTAGGAACTATTTTTTCCTGCTTAGAAGCACTTTCCTTGCTATTCCTTCTTTGTGATCTTCTAAGTCTTCGGTGTTGACCGAACACTGTCCTCAAAGGGTGGGGAGGGTACCTGCAAAGGCACTCTGACGCTCAAGTAAGTATTCGGTACAGAGTAATAAAAGCTTTTATATTAGATAATCATACCTGTCCCATCAGTCTTGTGGATACTGTATTTATAGAGACATATTTGGGCCTGGTGAGCCTTATGCCTTGAAGTATGGGTAATTGGGGATTATTGTCCATTAGTTAATTATAATGCTAATTACTTAGTAAGCTTTTCTGTTAACTATGCTATACAACACCCTCTTCGGCCAAGCTTGTGGCCGAAGGGGGGCTCGGCTTTTCCCCAGGCCGAAGGGGTTCTCGGCTTCTCCCCAGGCCAAGGACTGTGCAAGGAATCATTCAGCGCGGGTGTAAGCCGAAGAGGATCTCGGCCTCTCGCCGGGCCGAGAACTGTGCCTGGAGTCCTTTTTGATGTGCGTTTGGCCCGAAGGGGATCTCGACTTCTCCCCGGGGGCTCTTAACCATCTTAGGGCTTCTTTTCAAAGGAAAGGATCGGCCTCCTGACCGACCGAAGGGATGGTTAGTACACTATTATTTCATGAAAGTGTTTTTTAGAGATTCTTATAATTTTTTATTTAATTCAATTTTTTTTATCATATTTATTTATAAATTAAATTTTAATATACAATATAAATTATTTATCTTATATCTAAATTACAATTTAATGTTAAAAATAATATTTACACAAAATTTAAAAGTAATTTATATACTTATATATAATATTTATTTGTACTAATAGGACCGAGATATTTTGTGTTTCTATTTATTTTATTTAAATAAAAGATAAAATGTAAAATAACTAAAATAGAAGATAAATCATAAATAACCAAAAGGGTAAAGATAAAATGTTAAGATGAAAAAGTAACTACTTGTCATTACAAAGGGAGAATCCTAGTTGGTTTATAATAATAGGTACCAATATGAGTGGAAATTAAAATTGTAACATCCCGAATTTTCAACTAGTATAATAGTTAATTATTATTTATTTTTATATTTATGGAGGTTATTTTCTTATAGATATTTTAATGGGTTTTATAGAATGTTTTAAAAGTTTTTAATATTTATAAGTATTTTAATAATAAATATTTATGAAAATTATTTTTATAATATTTTGATTTTTTTAGTAGCCCAGAACGGGTTATTTTCAGATTGAAACGGGTCGTTCTAAACTACTAAAATGACCTTTAAACCATAGACGGGCCATTCCAACACATGATTTTATGAGTAATACATGATTCCAGAACGGGTCGTTCCACTTTGGGAACAGGCCATTCCAAATATGGTTGTTGTTGGTAATATGTAATTTCGGAACGGGCCGTTCTAGTTTTGGAACAGGCCGTTCTGGATGTAAAATTTACGTAGGGATGGCAATGAGGCCTCATGGGGGCGGGTAATAGTAAACTCACCCCCGCCCCGTTGAATGAAAATTGGTCCCATATCCACCCCATATCCGCGCGGGTATCCATTAAGCGGGTATCCATGAATTTCTTGAATACCCAAGGATATCCATGAATATCCATGGATATTTATAAATTTTTTAAGAAATTAAAAAAAAATTATATTACAAATAATTTTAAGTTTATATTTAATGTCATTGAAATATTAAAAATAAAAATTTAATGTTAATTTTGAACTTATATTTGACGTTAATTTTGTTGAAATAATAATAAAAATGCAAGATAATCAATAACTTAAAATACACCAATCTTACAAATAAGTTAATGTCTCATCACAAAGCTACAATAATTCAATTTCATAATTCCAAACGAAAGTAAACAACTTAAAATACATAAATTTTATTGGTCCAATCAAAGTTAGAAAATTAATCAAATTACATCCAACATAATTCTATAACATGCTTAACACATCTTGGTAACTTCATCAACCTCACTTTTGTAAGAAAATAATATGAGAGAGTGTAGTTTTAGGGTTATGTGATACAAGGATAATTAGGATATTTAAGAAATATTATTAAACGGGTACTCGCGGGTATGGATATCATCATACCCGGTTATTTTCTTATAGATATTTTAATGGGTTTTATAGAATGTTTTAAAAGTTTTTAATATTTATAAGTATTTTAATAATAAATATTTATGAAAATTATTTTTATAATATTTTGATTTTTTTAGTAGCCCAGAACGGGTTATTTTCAGATTGAAACGGGTCGTTCTAAACTACTAAAATGACCTTTAAACCATAGACGGGCCATTCCAACACATGATTTTATGAGTAATACATGATTCCAGAACGGGTCGTTCCACTTTGGGAACAGGCCATTCCAAATATGGTTGTTGTTGGTAATATGTAATTTCGGAACGGGCCGTTCTAGTTTTGGAACAGGCCGTTCTGGATGTAAAATTTACGTAGGGATGGCAATGAGGCCTCATGGGGGCGGGTAATAGTAAACTCACCCCCGCCCCGTTGAATGAAAATTGGTCCCATATCCACCCCATATCCGCGCGGGTATCCATTAAGCGGGTATCCATGAATTTCTTGAATACCCAAGGATATCCATGAATATCCATGGATATTTATAAATTTTTTAAGAAATTAAAAAAAAATTATATTACAAATAATTTTAAGTTTATATTTAATGTCATTGAAATATTAAAAATAAAAATTTAATGTTAATTTTGAACTTATATTTGACGTTAATTTTGTTGAAATAATAATAAAAATGCAAGATAATCAATAACTTAAAATACACCAATCTTACAAATAAGTTAATGTCTCATCACAAAGCTACAATAATTCAATTTCATAATTCCAAACGAAAGTAAACAACTTAAAATACATAAATTTTATTGGTCCAATCAAAGTTAGAAAATTAATCAAATTACATCCAACATAATTCTATAACATGCTTAACACATCTTGGTAACTTCATCAACCTCACTTTTGTAAGAAAATAATATGAGAGAGTGTAGTTTTAGGGTTATGTGATACAAGGATAATTAGGATATTTAAGAAATATTATTAAACGGGTACTCGCGGGTATGGATATCATCATACCCGCCCCCGCCCTATTTATAAACGGATAAAAAATTATTCGTTCCCATTATCCGCGGGTACCCAATTAGTCTATCCATTTATTATTCGTAGCGGATTTTACCCACAGATACCCGCGGGTGCGGGTATTTTTGCCATCCCTAAATTTACGTATGATGCATGAGTCTAGAACGGGCCGTTCCAGATTTGAAACGGGCCGTTCTAGCCACATCTGATGCCTATAAATAGAACGTTCCGACACTCCAAAAACACATTTTTCACTTCTGACCTCTTTTTTTCTACACTCTCTGAAGACCAAGGGGAACCTAGAGGAGGAGACCAACAAGATCCGGTTTTAGTTTCAGCTCCTGCTTATCGAGGTAAGGGGGAGAGTGAGAAACCTCGTTTTGGGTGTGAGAATATTTGTTGGGTAGTGGGATTGGCCCCCAATCCTGTGTTTGTTGTATTTTTTTGTATGCTCATGTATGAGGGATTTTCCCCAATTGTATCTATTTCGCCTATTGTTTTCTTATATGTAATTAATTGTATGATCTGAGATCTCTATGGATTCTTATGGGAAATCCTAAGAGAATACATTGGTGATTGTAAGAGGAGATGGTTTGAAGAGGTAATTGTATGAGTTAATTGTATTGTTTTAAATGTTTATTGTATGAATTAGAGTGCTCTGTGGGTTCCTGTGAGAACCCTATGAGAAATAGACAAAATATGAATGTTTTTTATTTTGCTTTCTGATTGTTCTGATGTATTCCTTGTTGAATGAGATGTATAAATTTGTGTTTATTTTTGAAACACTACTAGAAAAATTAATATTTGTGACGAATTTTGTGACGGAAAAAATAGCATCGCTAATAGTGACGCATTTTGTGAGGGAATTTTAAGTTTTGTGACAAACAAGAATTTATTGACTTTTGTGACGGATTTTGTGACGGAATATATTCCGTCTCTAAAAATCCGTCACAAATTTCGTCACTGAATCAAAAAAAAAATATTTGTGACGGAAATATTTTCGTCTCTAAATATCCGTCACAAATTTCATCACTAAATAAAAAAAAATGTT